AGTCCACCAGTGGAGCCAAAAGTGCTACTGGAACTAAAACTGCTGCCACCTCCAAGGTTTCCACCACTTCCATGGCTGCCACCAACTCCACCACTGCCTCCAAATCCGCCACTGCCACCAACGCCTCCACTGCCACCAATGGAGCCAAAAGTGCTGCCACCACCAAGGCTTCCACTACCTCCAACACCTCCACTGCCGCTGTTACCAGCACCAGCTCCGCTGCCACCCAATTCTGACCCAGCTAATCCTCCAATCCCTGAGCCTGATCCAAATCCACTAGAGCCACTACCGGCACCCCCTAAGCCTAACCCTCCACTTCCAAAACCTGATCCACCAGTGCTGGATCCCACTCCTCCACTTCCGAAGCCTGATCCATCAGTGCTAGAGCCGAGTCCTCCATTTCCAAAGCCTAATCCATAGGAACTGGAACCATTTCCTCCACTACCCAACCCTGATCCACCAGCTCCTCTTCCACCACCCCCGGCTCCACTGCCAAAGCCAGACCCGGACCCACCGTGGCCTTTCCGTCCGCCGCCGTAAGGGACGGGCTCGGCCACAGCCGCGGAGGCGATCTGACAAATAGTTATGGAGGAAGAATTTTCTGTTTAATTAATCAATTTCTTTTTCTGGAGGGTGTTATCATTTATAAGAATATTGAGTTTTCATTTACATTGTAATGACTAAAATGTTATTCTAGAAAATATAAGAACTTTCAGAAAAGAAAGGACAGTTACACCTACCACAGACCGATGGTTCTTCATCATGCTCAGCTCTCTTTGCTCAAGAGCTGATGCCCAGACTGCATCGTGTCAGTATTTATACTCGATTTTCTCTCAGTGTTGTTGCAGTTGTCAGTTGCAATATGGAGCTGTCTGACAATAAAGAAAAAAGCAATTTGGTTTCTAGGAAGAGTAAAGCAAGATGCCGTTGACACTGCAGCTTCAATGAGGGAAAACCAAGTGCCATCGAAGAAGCCTCCTCGATCAGAACCGTAAATCTTGCTTTATTTTACCAAGCTTTTGATACAAATATAGATATATGTGTCTGAGTGTGTTGCTATATATATATGTATATAGATAGAAATACATGCACGTAGCTATTTATCTATATAGATAGATTCAGATAAAAATATTCAGACGTACACATACAACATATATGCATATACATATAAGTAAACATATCCATCAACTTGTATAGGTAAATATAGATACATATTCAACCACAAATGTATATAGATAGATATTGTTTTATACCCTCATGGTAGTATTGTAGTGTACGGACATGTGTAGTCCCCAGGGGGCCCCACCTACCAAGAAGGGTGCCTTAAGGGCCAAGATCCCTCCCCATGAAGGTCAGTGGGCATCTGTAGGGTAAGCCCACCCCCTGACGTCAAATCCCCCGCTACTGCTGCCGCTGATGTCTAATGGGGAATATGACCTTGTGGGATGTCACAGTGGGAAATCTGTTAATGAAGCATATTTGAATGGAGCCTCTTGAGTTAGATAAAATACTAAAAAAGGTCCAGGGAGAAGAGAAAGGGTAGGCTAGCATAAGAATAGTACAAGATACAGGAAGAGGGTAAAATGAATGGGAAATATGCAGGAGAGGGCATAAAAGAAAGGAAATCTAGTAGAAGAGCCACGAGGCTGCATTTGATATGTGGTGCATGTATAGGTGCAATCTTGCACAGTCCAGCTCTTATCTTTAACGATACTGTCACTTAGGCTCAATACTTAGCTTTTCGTCTTTCCAGGTTCCTTTGCTGGATCTGTCGGCCACGTAGTATCACCTTTTATAATTATATCAAAATGCCAGAGGATGGAGGAAAAGAAACGCCCCGTGGTGCAGTAGAACAACGAGTGTATTTTTCTGTCGCTACAAAAGGCCGCGGGAGGCCGTGACGTCACGCTCGTGACGTGTAAAATATAAAAGTAAAAATAATCAACAATTAAAACAAAAATAAGCAAGAGAACAATACATGGCAGTAAAATAATAAAATAAATAATAAATGTAATACATAAAAAAGACATAAAACATAAAACACATACCAACATATAACAGACGGTCAACAAGCGCAACCACACGCACTCACGCACCAAAACACGTATATATACTTATACATATACACATACTCATATATATACTCATCCTTACACACACACACACACACACACACACACACACACACACACACATATATACAGGCACATGCTGTGCACGCAATGGGGCGTATACATATACGGAGCGAGCATCATCTAAGAGGAGATGGGGGTAGGGGGGTGAGTGCAGTGTCACGCTACAGAATCCGTCCCCCCGATCCGGGTCGAAGCAGCCAGCGGAGACCTGAAAAGGAGAAAAACCAAGCTTGAGCTCCGACAGTACAGATAAGACTGGACTGAGAAAAAGCGCACGTATACATACCACCAGGATACCAGCGCCCTGTCGGAGCCAACTCATCATCCCGCCCGGGGCGCCCCACCCTCTGGTCTTTGAGAAATACAATGATCATTTCAATATAGAAACCGGGATGATGATTCTGTGCCAGTGCGTGTCGTTTCCCCCCCCCCACTAAAAGGGAAAAAGCAAATGCGAAAGGCAAAAAGTAAAAGCAATACAATCAAAACAATAAAAGAGTAAGAGCAAGAGTAAAACAATAAAAGAGTAAAAGCAAGAGTAAAACAGTAAAAGAGTAAAAGCAAGAGTAAAACAGTAAAAGAGTAAAAGCAAGAGTAAAACAGTAAAAGAGTAAGAGCAAGGGTAAAACAATAAAAGAGTAAGAGCAAGGGTAAAACAATAAAAGAGTAAGAGCAAGGGTAAAACCATAAAAGAGTAAGAGCAAGGGTAAAACCATAAAAGAGTAAGAGCAAGGGTAAAACCATAAAAGAGTAAGAGCAAGGGTAAAACAATAAAAGAGTAAGAGCAAGGGTAAAACAATAAAAGAGTAAGAACAAGACTAAAACAGTAAAAAAAAAGGACAAGAGTAAAATGAAATAGCAGACATGGTAATAGAACACTTAAACACATGAGCAATTAAAAGGTGTTACTTAGTGCCGAACATCACGCGAACAAATTACAGGAATTGAAAACACAGGGCACCCTGAATTCACAAAATCAGTGAAGACAGTAAAGTTCCACAAAGTACACAAATGTCTACATCATAAGTTCAGGGTCTAACACACAGCTGGTCAGGACCGCCACCCAAGGGTCATCCTCTGCCGGTTGCTCAGGTTCGTCCTCTGGAACCCCCGGCTCATCTTCAGGAAAAGCAAGTTCCTGCGACTGCCGATACGGTCGCAAATGATTAGCATGGGCCTTTAATACTTTATCAAGGGCCAAGTCTTGGATTTGGAAAGAGACAGGACCTAGACGTTTACATATCCTTGCTGGTCCCCTCCATCTCACCCCAAGCGGCCTCGGTACCATCTCCTTGTATAACACTAAATCGCCTTCCTCTGGAGCGAAAGATCCTCTGGCCCGCTTGTCATAGCCTCTACCATAAGTAGCTCTGGCTTCCTTTGAGGCTTCCACCGCCGCTTGTCGGGCAGTCTTTAAACGATGCTGCAAGTCGTCATTATCGGCGAACACGGCCTCATTTGTGAGGCCTACCGGAAAGTAGGCATGTCGTCCTGTCAGGAGAAATAAGGGCTGCTCACCTGTCGAACGATGAATGGCAGAGTTGAAAGCTAAACGCAGCTCTGGAATGTAAGTATGCCATCGGCCAGGGTGCTCCCCAACTATTGAGCGGAGAGAAGCCTTAACAACCCTATTGGTCCGTTCGATCAGACCATTAGCTTGAGGATGGTATCTAATGGTAAAGTGGTGAGTGGACCGCAGGAGAGTAACAAGTTCCTCAAACAAGCCTGAAGTAAACTGCCTACCGTTATCGCTCTGAATTACACGTGGTGGTCCAAAGTAGGTTATCCAGTGTTCAAGGAAGGCTTGGTGGATCTTCGTGGCAGTGATAACCTTCAGTGGCACAATTTGAAGAAACCTAGTGTGCTGATCAATGATGGAGAGAGCATAACGTACAGGAGCCTGGCTGAGGTCGAGTATGTCCATGGATACTCTCTCTAAGGGGTAAAGAGCCAAAGGAGCTTCAGCCATCGGCACCCTCTGTGCTACCCCTCTGTTCTGCTGGCATGACTGACACTCCTCTACATACCTTCGTACATCCGCCATCATATTAGGCCAATAATACATGTTACGGAGGTTACCATAAGTCCTTTGTATGCCAGGATGCATAGCTAATGGTGGAGTGTGAGCAGTTCTCAGGGCTGATTTACGAAGACGCTCTGGTACACACAGCTGGAAGACAGTTTTATCAGGAAGATGCAGTAAGCGGTACAGGATATCATCTTTAAGTTCAAAGTCGGAAAGGGCAGAAGGGAGCTTGCGCTTGGGCACCGTTCCAGACTTAAGATAATGCAGAATCTCTTTGAATTTTGGGTCCTGGCTCTGCTGAGTGGCTAGCTCCTGTGGGCTGACGTTATGAACGTCGACTGTTGCAACTTGCCGGGATAGTAAGTCAGGAACATAATTGATTGGCCCTTCCCTATATCTGATGTCAAAATCATAGAAAGAGAGGTCATGTGCGTATCTCGTCATGCGGGGCGACCTGGTCCGGTGTCGGAACACATGGATCAGTGGGCGGTGATCGGTGTAGACTACAAACCTACGGCCGTAGAGGTAAGCATCAAAAACACGCACACCCTCAACAACAGCTAAGGCCTCACAATCGATTACTGGGTATCGTGTTTCGGCACCCCGCAGCTTCCGACTGTAAAAAGCAACAGCATGTAAAATACCCTGGTCACCTAGTTGCATGAGGGCAGCCCCAATAGCGAGAGAGCTGGCGTCCGTGTGCAGCTCGAATTCTTTCGTGAAGTCGGGTTGTTGGAGGATCGGCTCAGATACCAGCAAAGTTTTCAGCTTATGAAATGCAGACTGCTGCTCTTCACCCCATTCCCAAACTTGACCTTTCTTTAATAGGATATGGAGGGGTGCTGCAATGGTGGCATACCTTGGAATGTGTCTGCGGAAGAAGTTAGTAGCCCCTAGAAATCGGCGGACTTCTTTAATGTTCTTGGGTGCTGGGGTCTCGGCAATTGCTGATACCTTGCTTCTGTCAGGAGCAATACCATCGGGAGACACCGTGAAGCCTAGAAAGTTTATTGTTGTAGCCGCAATTGCACACTTCTCGGGGTTCAATTTGAATCCTGCTGCCAGCAGTAAATCTAGAGTTTCCCCAAGGTCCTTCAGATGCTGGCCGAAGTCTTTGGAGTGTACAATTATGTCGTCCAGGTACGCTAGAGTATGGCGCCCAAGGACAGGTGCTAGGATTAGGTTGACTGCTCTCTGAAAGGTGGAAGGAGCAGTGCTAAGACCAAATGGGAGCCTTTTAAAGTGAAACAGGCGATACCCGTCACTAAATGCGGTCTTTTGCTTATCCTCTGGATGTATGTCGATGCTCCAGTAGGCAGCTCTAGCATCTAGAGTGGTGAAGATGCAGGAAGGTCCAAGCTCGTCCAGCAGTTCGTCAATTCGAGGCAGTGGGTATGCATCTGCCTTAGTTACTGCATTGAGGTTCCTGTAATCTACACAGAAACGCAGGCCGCCATTTTTCTTTTTCACGAGGACTACGGGACTTAACCAAGGTGAAGAGGAAGGTTCAATCACTCCTGCCCTCAACATAACTTCACATTGGTCCCGTATTATCTGGCGAGTTGTATGGGGTAATCTCCATTGCCTTGTACACACAGGTGGCGCATTATCCGTATCGATTCGATGCTGTATATCAGGGATGTGTCCTACTGTTTCTTCACCTCCATCAAAGAGATGGTGGTATTTATGTAACAGGGCCGTCGCCTTCTCACATTCTATATTCGTCAGGTGGCTAAGGTCAGGCGAAATTGTGTTCAAAGGGAGATCATCAGAGCCCCCCAACTCAAGGGCATCAATAGCCATGAGGGCAAGAGATGGAGGAAGGTCACAGGAGAAGGGGAACGTCTCCAGGCTATCACCAATCAATTGTAAGCCATAAAATTGATCAAATTGGGTTAGATCATCCTCCCACTCAAACTCATCTTCATCTCCCTTGCCATGTCCCCAATTCACCCCTAGATCCTCAGTAGATGCTGAAGGAAGCACTGTGGCTGCGACAGACGCTGAAGGAGGCACTGCAGCTGCAGCTGCGGCTGCGACAGACGCTGAAGGAGGCACTGCGGCTGCGGCTGCGGCTGCGACAGACACTGAAGGAGGCACTGCGGCTGCGGCTGCGGCTGCGACAGACGCTGAAGGAGGCACTGCGGCTGCGGCTGCGACAGACGCTGAAGGAGGCACTGCGGCTGCGGCTGCGGCTGCGACAGACGCTGAAGGAGGCACTGCGGCTGCGGCTGCGGCTGCGACAGACGCTGAAGGAGGCACTGCGGCTGCGGCTGCGGCTGCGACAGACGCTGAAGGAGGCACTGCGGCTGCGGCTGCGCCAGACGCTGAAGGAGGCAGTGCGGCTGCGGCTGCGCCAGACGCTGAAGGAGGCACTGCGGCTGCGGCTGCGCCAGACGCTGAAGGAGGCAGTGCGGCTGCGGCTGCGCCAGACGCTGAAGGAGGCACTGCGGCTGCGGCGGCGACAGACGCTGAAGGAGGCACTGCTGCTGCGGCTGCGGCTGCGGCAGACGCTGAAGGAGACACTGCGGCTGCGGCTGCGACAGACGCTGAAGGAGGCACCGCGGCTGCGGCTGCGACAGACGCTGAAGGAGGCACTGCGGCTGCGGCTGCGACAGACGCTGAAGGAGGCACTGCGGCTGCGGCTGCGGCTGCAGCTGCGCTAGACGCTGAAGGGGGCACTGCGGCTGCGGCTGCGCCAGACGCTGAAGGAGGCACTGCGGCTGCGGCTGCGCCAGACGCTGAAGGAGGCACTGCGGCTGCGCCAGACGCTACAGGTGAAATCGTTCCTAACCTAGTGCCTGTTCTAATAAATAGCCTCTTGGCTGTAGGGTTCTCTACCCATACAGTGCAGCGCCAGTTCTTTACGGTCAAGAATCGGTGGGAAGGTTCGAAGACTGTTGATTGGAGAGGACTAAATTCAAATACACCGTCTGCTGGGGCAGTCCTCTGTACAGACACTGGTAGCCAGCAACCAGTGTACGGGTGGAGTGTGGATGAGTTGAGGAGATGAGTCATGACTGGTTGACCTGCACTGATAGAGGAACTTGTAGTTCTCAAAGTAGACTGGGAGTGTTCTGCTGTTACAAAAGCTAGCTGTAGTGACTTGGCATCAGTGTAGGTGACTGGGAAGTTTCTGCCCTCAATCGACAGACAGGCTTGATGACTGTTGGCCTCCGATGACAGGCTGTATGTTACCCTCCTTAAAAAGTCCATTCCCAGCAAAAGGCTTCCAGGGAACCACACATCACAGACCATGACCCGATGGTTAACACATAGGGTGGTATCAAGGTAGAAAGATAAATCCACTTCTGTTAAGCCGGGAATTATCTTCCCAGAGACTCCTCTTAACAGACGGCTGCATAGGGTCACATTCAAAGCTCCCTTAGGATCTATTAAGGGCAGGATGGAGGGTTTGATGATCGTAGCCTCTGACCCGGTGTCTAGAAAACATACCACACTAATTCCGTTTACAGTCAGTGCCACTACTGGTCGTCCAGTTAGGGTGGAGGTTGCTACCGTGGCCACTTCCGCTTCTGATCCCTGACCTGCTCCCCTGGAGAGCTGTGCCAGTGGCGCTTGGAGCCTCGGCACCCTGGCCTTCCGGAAAGGGACAAGCATTTCTATAGTGGCCTGTCCTCCTGCAGCTATAACATACCCGAGTTTGGTTAGTGGCTCTGGCTCGGCACTCACCAGCATCATGACTGGTAACCTGGTGATAAGTGCACCATTTCTGCTGACTGTGCTGTGGGACGACGTGTTGGGGGACTACCTGCTGCCGCCCTACATTGGCTTCAATAGGACAGGCATAATGATCTCTACCCCTAGGTGGCCGCTCTGGGTTACGACTGGATTCCTCAGACGTGTCTAGCTTGTGGTGTCGTACTCCGTGTCTTGCATTCCAGACACGCTGAGCAGCATCGGCCATTTGCGCTGGTGAACTGTCATCCCTTACTGCAAGGATGTCACGAAGCCAGGGAGACAGTCCGCTAATAAACACCCTACGTACCAGTTCATCAGGATCACCGATGGCAGCTGGGTAGTCACGATAACCCTGATAAACACTGCCTTGGATCTCCAGGAAGAAGTCCATCGGTGCTTGTTCATTGGCCAAGCGGTGTTCATAAAGCACCTTAAAGAAGTCCGCGGCAGTACAAGTGCCGCGAAAAGTCTTGCGAATTTGGGCCTTAAACACCTGCCAGCTTCTTAGATGATCAAAAAGTGCAGAGTTGATGATGCGCTCTGCACGGCCTTTACAGCTGGTCCTGGCTGCCTGGATAAACATCTCAGGAGTAGGGGGTTTTACAAGGTTCTCAATGGCCCGTATCCATCCTTCCACCTCCTGATTTTTGAGGAAGGGCTTTGCTGCGGTGACTTCTCCCCTAAACTCTGGAATCTTGGCCTTGGAGAAAATGTACTGCACTGGAACCTCGGGACTTGCTGACGGCTGGTATGAGGTACGGCCTACTGGATGCCATGAACAAGCATCGGCATGAGGAAACAGTGGTGTAGGGTCATAATTCACATTCCTACGTGGCATCGGCTGTGGTGGGTTTTGACCACAAGGTCTTTGGCTTGGAAGGTCATTGTACCAGCATCTCTCCTCAGGCTGTTGCTCTGCTCTCGACCAACAGTGGGGTTGCTCGACACCTCTTGTTTCTCGGTACAAGGCCCCAGAACCTCCAGCTTGGGTACTTGGGTCTTCTGCATTCCTACAACAGCATGGCCCCAGCATCTGCCGTTGACCAACATTTGAATTGTGGCGGACTGTAGTGCACCTGCTGTCCTGCCGTTGTCGTCCAGGTGACATGCTAGACAGCTGGAGATCGGTACCTTCACCCTCTTGGATATGGTAGCGTCGAGGCCGAGGGCTAGGACTGGTAACTTGCTGCGAGATTCTGTGAGGGCTAGGACTGGTGACCCGCCGCGAGCTTCTGCGAGGACTGGGACTGGTGACCAGCTGCGAGTTTCTGCGGGGACTGGGACTGGTGACCCGCTGCGAGTTTCTGCGAGGACTGGGACTGGTGACCCGATGCGAGTTTCTGCGAGGACTGGGACTGGTGACCCGATGCGAGTTTCTGCGAGGACTGGGACTGGTGACCCGCTGCGAGTTTCTGCGAGGGCTTGTCGGGCACTCAGCTAGCATCATGCCATTATGGGTATCGGCCTGTGTCTGTGCCTGCTGTGGAGTGGGGGTCAGCATCCGTGGAGGTGCAGTTGGTTGCTCGTTGTCATTAACTGCCCGTGAATTCGAAGAGATGTTGCTGGACAGTGCCCGTCCAATTGTCTCGAGCAGCTGTTGGTGTCGCTCTGCAGTCTGTCGACGTTCTTCCCCTATCTGCTGGTTTTGTTCCTCCATCCTTCGCTCAACCTCTGCAAACCGCCTCTCTAACTCTTGCATTCGCTGACCCATCTGTTCATGCCCTTGTTTCATCTGCTGCAAGGTTTCCTCGTGCATCGTGACGTCGGCAGCCATCGCAGCGCTGGCCATTCTTAGATCGGGCTGTGATCCACCAACAACTAGGGGGAGCAATATCCCTTCTGGGGAAGTGGCAAGCGAGGAGGGCTGGCTGCTATGATCACGGACGCCTCTTCTTGTCGGTAGCTTCCTTGTCCCCTTTTGTGGCATGGGTCACGTGTCAAGGGCACGAAACGTCAGCAAGTAAATACTCGTTACCCAGACGGACAAACACCAACACAATATGTAAAGAGATACAGTACAATGACACAAAACGAAAAACAATGTACACAGAACAGTAAACTTACAACAAAAGAACACTAGGCGTTAATACACAGCAAAAACAAAGATGGGACAAATGAAGTCAGTCGCTAAAAGGACAAGGGCGGATACAGGAATTATACACAAATGCACAGAAGGGCTGGGCAGGCACGTACACACGCACACGCACAGAAGGGCTGGGCAGGCACGTACACACGCACACGCACAGAAGGGCTGGGCAGGCACGTACACACGCACACGCACAGAAGGGCTGGGCAGGCACGTACACACGCACATGCACAGAAGGGCTGGGCAGGCACGTACACACGCACACGCACAGAAGGGCTGGGCAGGCACGTACACACGCACACGCACAGAAGGGCTGGGCAGGCACGTACACACGCACACGCACAGAAGGGCTGGGCAGGCACGTACACACGCACACGCACAGAAGGGCTGGGCAGGCACGTACACACGCACATGCACAGAAGGGCTGGGCAGGCACGTACACACGCACACGCACAGAAGGGCTGGGCAGGCACGTACACACACACACGCACAGAAGGGCTGGGCAGGCACGTACACACGCACACGCACAGAAGGGCTGGGCAGGCACGTACACACGCACACGCACAGAAGGGCTGGGCAGGCACGTACACACGCACACGCACAGAAGGGCTGGGCAGGCACGTACACACGCACACGCACAGAAGGGCTGGGCAGGCACGTACACACGCACACGCACAGAAGGGCTGGGCAGGCACGTACACACGCACACGCACAGAAGGGCTGGGCAGGCACGTACACACGCACACGCACAGAAGGGCTGGGCAGGCACGTACACACGCACACGCACAGAAGGGCTCGGCAGGCACGTACACACGCACACGCACAGGAGGGCTGGGTAGGCACGTATGCACGCACACAATCGGACTGGGTAGGCACGTATGCACGCCAGGAGGGCTGGTAGGCACGTATGCACGCACACAATCGGACTGGGTAGGCACGTATGCACGCACACAATCGGACTGGGTAGGCACGTATGCACGCACACAATAGCACTGGGTAGGCACGTATGCACGCACACAATAGGACTGGGCAGGAACGTATGCACGCACTACAAAAGGGCTGGGCAAGCACGTATGCACGCACACAATAGGACTGGGCAGGAACGTATGCACGCACACAAAAGGGCTGGGCAAGCAGCACGTATGCACGCACACAATAGGACTGGGTAGGCACGTATGCACGCACACAATCGGACTGGGTAGGCACGTATGCACGCACACAATCGGACTGGGTAGGCACGTATGCACGCACACAATAGGACTGGGTAGGCACGTATGCACGCACACAATAGGACTGGGTAGGCACGTATGCACGCACACAATAGGACTGGGTAGGCACGTATGCACGCACACAATAGGACTGGGCAGGAACGTATGCACGCACACAAAAGGGCTGGGCAAGCACGTATGCACGCACACAATAGGACTGGGCAGGAACGTATGCACGCACACAAAAGGGCTGGGCAAGCACGTATGCACGCACACAATAGGACTGGGTAGGCACGTATGCACGCACACAATCGGACTGGGTAGGCACGTATGCACGCACACAAAAGGACTGGGCAGGAATGTACACTAAACTGTTATACAGGACGAGGAAACAAAAATTGGACAACACAGTAAAAACACTAAGAAATAGACATCATGGTCAATGAAACCACACAGTAAAATAGGGAAAACAGTGAGATCACTACCAATAATTCACTAGAAATAATTAAATGCACATTAAATAAGAACACGCACTAGCACAGGGCTCGAACACTGGCACGAAATACAGCTGTCGTGGGAGAACGGGTTAGTAAAATCAAAATTCCTAGACTATAATGAGCCACCCAGTAAAGCTATACGGAGCTGGAGATTAATATAATAAATCCCTTGAAGAGGAGACAGCTCTGTAGGAAAAATTGCCAGCTCAAAAATACTACAATGCAAAAACCTGAAAATTAGAGACAAAAAGCAATGATAACATTTTACTTTACTAACAATACGGAGAACAAATACAGTAGCTCACATCAACTGCAGAAGGTAAAAATATATATTCATAAAAAATATGCTGGAAAAGAACATACTAGATTTCCCAGGCTGATGGCCTTTGCTGCGACATCCCACCGCTGCCACCAAAAATTTTAGATCTGTAGTGTACGGACATGTGTAGTCCCCAGGGGGCCCCACCTACCAAGAAGGGTGCCTTAAGGGCCAAGATCCCTCCCCATGAAGGTCAGTGGGCATCTGTAGGGTAAGCCCACCCCCTGACGTCAAATCCCCCGCTACTGCTGCCGCTGATGTCTAATGGGGAATATGACCTTGTGGGATGTCACAGTGGGAAATCTGTTAATGAAGCATATTTGAATGGAGCCTCTTGAGTTAGATAAAATACTAAAAAAGGTCCAGGGAGAAGAGAAAGGGTAGGCTAGCATAAGAATAGTACAAGATACAGGAAGAGGGTAAAATGAATGGGAAATATGCAGGAGAGGGCATAAAAGAAAGGAAATCTAGTAGAAGAGCCACGAGGCTGCATTTGATATGTGGTGCATGTATAGGTGCAATCTTGCACAGTCCAGCTCTTATCTTTAACGATACTGTCACTTAGGCTCAATACTTAGCTTTTCGTCTTTCCAGGTTCCTTTGCTGGATCTGTCGGCCACGTAGTATCACCTTTTATAATTATATCAAAATGCCAGAGGATGGAGGAAAAGAAACGCCCCGTGGTGCAGTAGAACAACGAGTGTATTTTTCTGTCGCTACAAAAGGCCGCGGGAGGCCGTGACGTCACGCTCGTGACGTGTAAAATATAAAAGTAAAAATAATCAACAATTAAAACAAAAATAAGCAAGAGAACAATACATGGCAGTAAAATAATAAAATAAATAATAAATGTAATACATAAAAAAGACATAAAACATAAAACACATACCAACATATAACAGACGGTCAACAAGCGCAACCACACGCACTCACGCACCAAAACACGTATATATACTTATACATATACACATACTCATATATATACTCATCCTTACACACACACACACACACACACACACACACACATATATACAGGCACATGCTGTGCACGCAATGGGGCGTATACATATACGGAGCGAGCATCATCTAAGAGGAGATGGGGGTAGGGGGGTGAGTGCAGTGTCACGCTACAGTATTTATATCTATAGCTATACAGATAGATAGATATGTGCACGTGTATATATGTTTATGTGTATGTGTTGATATTTATATCTATCTATAATTAGATATATATGTATACTTATGTGGATATAAGTATCTGTATGTTTTTTATCTTTTTCATGATCACGGAAGTCACACATTGAATCATCACATCGAATTCATCTTCTATTATTACTGTTGTGTATGATATCAGTAATTTGTTTGTTTTCACTATTAAGAAATAATACTGTAGTATATGTTTTCGAGTGTTCATTTGAGCTAATGTATTTGTGCTTGTTTGATGTGTCTCCACGCGTGTGTAGATGTGTGTGTATACATATGTATGTGTATATATATGTGTTTGTGTGTATATATGTGTTTGTGTATATGTATGTTTTCATAATATCAATACTATCAACGGATTTGATGGTAAATTTTGCACCCACGATTAATTATCAATAGCCAATGAACCAGTTAATATCATAGGACTTCATCTTTAGTTCTCTGGAATAATTACTCATTCTCTTTTACACTTATTTTTCTCTTTTCTTTTCTTCACCCAAAGCTGAAGATGGCGATTACGTCACGAACCCTCTGTTGGCGTTCTATTTGTTTACCTAATTGCAACTGCAAGCGTCATTTCACATAATTGTTTTTTTTTCTGGATAACAAACTTGATCCTAAGATGTGCATAGGCATTTCTAGTACTCCTAGATCGACTTTAATATGAGTTATATATGCAACTAAATCGGATATATGAATTCAAGACAAGCATTTGGTGATATTGAGGCACTACAGAATTTAGTTATGCCTTCCATACTCTCATCTACAATTTCTAGATTCAGCAAAAACTATTCAGAGAACAACCGTCTTTAATTAATAGAGAAAATCATAGAGCATAATATCCTTTATTTGCTGCAGTATGATACAACCACTAGATAACACTTTTTTCTATGGCCCATACAGTTTCCTACCTCTGTCATTACCCTAACACTAAACAAAATTATCCAATACATATTTATCACCAACAAATTCTACTCGTGCGTATCGCCAGGGCCATCCTTTCATTCAGAGTACAGTTCTGCTTTTCCTTTTGCTTCCAAAGGATGTGCATCAGACGCTGAAGAATAAGTCAGTGTATGCAAAAAAAAAAGAATTTTTCTCTCTTTCTTTTATATAAGTCATGTGACAACCCTCCCCTCCAAAAAAAAAATAAAAAAGGTAATAATATCCATTAAAACAATACCAGTGATCCACTCTATTGATTGATAATTTGATTATTTTTCTGACTTTATATAGTTATACGTTTTTCTTTTCATTCATTTATTCAATATTCTATTTCCTTTCTAGCTGAGTTTGATTTGGTTAAATAAGGTTTCAGAGCAAAGTGAGCGTTAGTTTTCCATTTCTTTTCACTATTAATGGGTTGCTGAAACAGATATAAACCCCATCTATATTAATCAACATTTTTTTTTTTTTTTACTTTCGTCTTTATATTCAACTTGTGTACCGTTATCATTCGATTCCACGGAAAATTAATCATTACTGACGCATCAACATTTTATTGTTGGTGGCCAATTATTGTTGACAAATGTTCACATGTGGCTGTGTACACATCGACATACATAGAACAGCATAGTATTCCCTGTTGAGTCACTTCCCCTTTTCATGTACTAATTAGGGACGCCGTAACTGGTGCTAAGGTGGCCGCTTCCGCCTTTGCTGTAAAAGGAAAGAAGAGCCGTCAAAGGTAGATAAATAGATAAATTAAGAAATAGATAATTACATCAATAAGTAAGTAAAAAAACAGTTACAAATATTGATTTCGCATCGACTAGCATGAATACTGAAGTTCTATTTGAAAACACTAGAGAAAAGAAGAAAGGAACATTTATACACATATTGCTCGTGAAAGAATCCCAGTGACAAATACAATATTTAGCTTACCTTACGCCTGCAGAACCACCCAGGCCACTGCCACTGCTTCCTCCAAAACCACCACTGCTGCCACCAACTCCTCCACTGCCACCAAGTCCACCAGTGGAGCCAAAAGTGCCGCTGCCTCCAAGACCTCCGCTGGAACCAAAACTGCTGCCACCTCCAAGGCTTCCACCACTTCCATGGCTGCCACCAACTCCACCACTGCTTCCAAAGCCGCCACTGCTGCCACCAACTCCTCCACTGCCACTAAGTCCACCAGTGGAGCCAAAAGTGCTACCACCACCAAGGCCTCCACTGCCTCCAACTCCACTGCCAAAGGAGCTGCTTCCACTGCCGCTGTCACCTTGTCCAGCACCGCCTCCGCTGCCGCCCAATCCTGATCCACCTAATCCTCCACTCCCAGAGCCTGATCCAAATCCACTAGAGCCACTACCGGCACCCCCTAAGCCTGACCCTCCACTTCCAAAACCTGATCCACCACTGCTGGATCCCACTCCTCCACTTCCGAAGCCTGATCCACCAGTGCTGGATCCCAGTCCTCCACTTCCGAAGCCTGATCCACCAGTGCTAGATCCCAGTCCTCCACTTCCGAAGCCTGATCCACCAGTGCTAGATCCCAGTCCTCCACTTCCGAAGCCTGATCCACCAGTGCTGGATCCCACTCCTCCACTTCCGAAGCCTGATCCACCAGTGCTAGATCCCAGTCCTCCACTTCCGAAGCCTGATCCACCAGTGCTAGATCCCAGTCCTCCACTTCCGAAGCCTGATCCACCAGTGCTAGAACTCAGTCCTCCACTTCCGAACCCTGATCCACCAGCTCCTCTTCCTCCACCTCCGACTCCTCCACTGCCAAAGCCAGACCCGGACCCGCCGTGGCCTTTCCTTCCGCCGCCGTAAGGGACGGGCTCGGCTACAGCCAGGCACAGCAGCGCCATCGCGGCCGCGGAGGCGATCTGACAAATAGTCATGGAGGAAGAATTTTGTTTAACTCATCCATTTCCTTTTTGGGTGGGTGTTATTGTTAATCAGAACGTCAATTTTTCGTTCAGTGTAATGGCTAAAATGTAATTCCAGAAAAAATAAGAACTTTCAGAAAAAAACACAGTTCCACCTACCACAGACTGATAGTTCTTCATCATGCTCAGTTCTCTTTGCTCAAGAGCTGATGCCCAGACTGCATCATGTCAGTATTTATACTTGATTTTCTCTCAGAAATGTTGCAGTTGCCAGTTAATGCAACATCGAGTTGTCAGAAAAAAAAAAAACTAGTTGGGTTTCTAGGAAGCAAGATGTAAGATGCCGTTGACACTGCAGCTTCATTGAGGGAAATCCGAGTGCCTTCAAAGAAGCATCAGCGATCAGGACCGTAAGCCTTGTTTTATTTTACAAATCTTATGATAAATATTTAGATTAATATATATGCATGTTTAAATATATGTATTTGTATATATATACATACATATGTACATATATATACATATATACACATATATATACATATATATGTGTATATATAGCCTACATATATATACATATGTATGTGTATATATAGCCTACATATATATATACATATATATGTGTATATATAGCCTACATATATATATACATATATATGTGTATATGTAGCCTACATATATATACATATATATGTGTATATATAGCCTACATATATATACATATATATGTGTATATATAGCCTACATATATATACATATATATGTGTATATATAGCCTACATATATATACAGAAATATGTGCTTGTATATACAGTATATATAGAAAGAGACAAAATATAGATACATACAAAAATACACTTATATACCCATACAAATACATACACATAAACATCTAGGTAGAGAGATATATATACTTATACTCCCACAAATGTATATAGATATATATACATTCATGGTAGCACTTATATCCATATTTATATATAGATAGAGATAGATATGTGTGTATGTTTTTATATTTTTATCTGCATATAAACAGATATCCATACTCGTATATATATGTATACATATGTCACACCGAATTCTTTTTTTATTACTTTAGTGTATGATATCAATGATTTGTATGTCTTCGCTATTAAAAAATAATAATACTGTAGTTAATGTTTGCAGGTGTTTATTTGTGCTAATGTGTGTGCATGTGTGTGTATGTGTGTTTTCATAATATCAAATATATCAGCGGATTTGATGGTAAATATATCCACGATTCATCATCAGTCGTCAATGAACCCTCCAATATTAAAGCCCTTCGTTATCATATTACCAATTGTTTTCCTCAAAACAAAAAGAAAAGCAAAGGATAGTCATACGGTTTGACCTGCTGATACATTCAATTCATTATCCTTAAAGCACCATATTGTGTGGCTTTTTTTCCTTCTCCATCCAACACAGAAGGTGATTGCGTCACTAAATCTCTCCAGGCAATTTTGTTTGTTTTTGCTTGGTTTGTGCGTATTTGCGCCATTATAAAGACATGGATACATATTAATAAAAAATATATATATTACAAATATCGTATCGTGATTGGCCTTTTTTTCAAAGTCTTGATGGGATACTTAGGAATGTTATTAACAAATTTATTAAAACTTTTTTTTTCTAATCTAAACTATTTTCGCTAATAAAACGGATATACGACAAGACAAGCATTTGCTGAAATTGATACACTGCAGAATTTCGAATAGTAGTGAGAACTTAATTATGCTTCCTACATCTCATCTACAAATTTCTGGATTCAGTAACAAGCTATTCACAGTACAACCGTCTTTAATAAAAAACAAAGAACAAAAAACGCCAGCTATGATATTTTTTTCTCTGACCGAGTCTTTGATATCATAGTTTCCTAATCCTCAGTCACTGCCCTAACATCACACTAAACAGAAATATCCCTAAAAACGCGGTCACACGAGCATACATTACCAACAAATCTTGTAGCCGCATGAAAAAAATTGCACTCTGGCCACACAGCGATAACACCTTCGGCCAGGGTCGTCCTTTCATTTTAGAATACAGTTTCTCTCCTTTTCTGCGAACTTGCCTCCAAACGATGCTTATATGATGCTCAAGAACAAGCCAGCATATGTTAAGAGGCCTCATTTCCCCTTTTTTAAATAAAACTCGTATGACCACTTTAAATATAATAATAATAATAATTTCTAATAAAATCAGTATCAGTGATCCATTGTATTGATTGATAATCCGTTATTTCTCTGATTTTATATAACTATTTGTTTGCTTATTCATTCATTTATTTAATATTTGACTTCCTTTGTAGATGACTTTGTCTTGGATAATTAAGGTTTCAAAGCAAAGTGAACATTAGTTTTCCAATTCTTTTCATTGTTAAAGGGTTGCTGAAATAGATATAAGCCACATTTATAATAATTTCTTTTTTTATAACTTTCGTCTCAATTTTCGACTTGTTTATCCTTATGATTAGGTTCCAATCAAAATGAGTCATTACTGATGCATCAATATTTTATTGTTGATAGCCAATGATAGGTCATGTTCATACATGTACACATGCGGATGTGTACATCGACATACGCAGGACAGTAATAGCATTGCCTGTTGAGTCAGTTCCTCGTTTCATGTACTAATTAGGTACACCGTAACTGGTGCTAAGGTGGCCACTCCCGCCTTTGCTGTAAAAGGAAAGAACAACCATCAAAAGTTAAATAAACAGATGGATTATAAGAGCGATAAATAGATAATCAAATAAAGTAAGTAGAAAACACAAACTATGATTTCCCACTACCATGTTTACTGAAGTTCTGTCTATTTAAAAATGAGGATTGAAAAGACTAGAGCAAAGAAGAAACCTAATTAATACACATTACTTGAAAAGGAAACCCAGTGGAAAAATATATATTTAGCTTACCTTGCGCCTCCAAAGCCACCACTGCTGCCACCAACTCCTCCACTGCCACCAACTCCACCACTGCCTCCAAAGCCACCACTGCCTCCAAAGCCACCACTGCTGCCACCAAGTCCACCAGTGGAGCCAAAAGTGCCGCTGCCTCCAAGACCTCCGCTGGAACCAAAACTGCTGCCACCTCCAAGACTTCCACCACTTCCATGGCTGCCACCAACTCCACCACTGCTTCCAAAGCCGCCACTGCTGCCACCAACGCTTCCACTGCCACCAACGCCTCCACTGCCACCAAGTCCACCAGTGGAGCCAAAAGTGCTACCACCACCAAGGCTTCCACCAGCTCCTCCAAGGCCTCCACTGCCTCCAACTCCACTTCCAAAGGAGCTGCTTCCACTGCCTCCAACTCCACTTCCAAAGGAGCTGCTTCCACTGCCGCTGTAACCTTGTCCAGCACCGCCTCCGCTGCCGCCCAATCCTGATCCACCTAATCCTCCACTCCCTGAGCCTGATCCAAATCCACTAGAGCCACTACCGGCACCCCCTAAGCCTGACCCTCCACTTCCAAAACCTGATCCACCAGTGCTGGATCCCAGTCCTCCACTTCCGAAGCCTGATCCACCAGTGCTGGATCCCACTCCTCCACTTCCGAAGCCTGATCCACTGGAACCAGAGCCACTTCCTCCACTTCCGAAACCTAATCCACCGGAACTGGAACCACTTCCTCCACTACCGAACCCTGATCCACCAGCTCCTCTTCCTCCACCTCCGACTCCTCCACTGCCAAAGCCAGACCCGGACCCGCCGTGGCCTTTCCTTCCGCCGCCGTAAGGGACGGGCTCGGCCACAGCCAGGCACAGCAGCGCCATCGCGGCCACGAAGGCGATCTGACAAATAGTCATGGAGAATTTTTTTTTTAATTAATCCATTTCTTTCGCTAGAGGGTGTTATTATTCATAAGAATATCGAGTTTTCATTACACTATGATGACTGAAATGTTATTCCAGGAAATATAAGAACTTTCAGAAAAAAGCACAGTTTCACTTACCACAGACCGATGGTTCTTCATCATGCTCAGTTCTCTTTGCTCAAGAGCTGATGCCCAGACTGGATCGTGTCAGTATTTATACTTGATTTTCTCTCAGAAATGTTGCAGTTGCCAGTTAATGCAACATCAAGCTGTCAGACAATGAAGAAAAAACTAGTTGGGTTTCTTGGAAGCGCAAAGCAAGACGCAAGATGCCGTTGACACTGCAGCTTCATTGAGGGAAAACCGAGTGCCTTTGAAGAAGCCTCAGCGATCAGGACCGTAAATCGTGCTTTATTTTACCAAGCTTATAATACATATTTAGATGAATATATATGTGTTCATATATATATACATATATACATATATATACATATATAAGTAGAGTATATATATAGAGAGAGAAAAACAGAGACAGAAACATACATTTATATATGCATTCAAATACATGCACATATGTATTCAGCTATATAGATAGTTGCAGATAAAATGTATACACGTACGCACACAGACACTTACATAAACATATTTATATACATATATGTACACAAATGTATAAAGATAACTATTGTTATCTATACATTTCATGGTAGCATTTATATCTATATCTACATATAGATATAGATAGGTACATTTGGGTATATGTGTATGTACTTATATCTATATATACCTATAGATAGATAGATATGTACACTTATTTGTATATGTTTGTCTGCAAATATGTTCGTTTTGTTTTTTGGTCACATAATTCATCTTTTGATATCATTTTATGAAATCAGTAATTTGTATATTTTCACTATCAAGGAATAATATTATAGTGTATGTTTGCAAGTGTTCATTTGTGCTAATGTGTTTGTGTATGTATGGTGTGTCTGGATGTGTGTAAACGGGTTTGTGTGTGTGTGTGTGGGCGTGGTGTATTTGCATGTTTTCGTAATAATAAAAATGTCAGCGGAATTAGTGGTAAATGTTGCATCCATAATTCATTATCAGTGAACCCTCCAATATCATAGTCCTTCGCCTTTATTTTACTAAATTAATTACCAATAGCCTTCCTCAAAACAAGAATAAAAGAGACAGTCGTGCGGTTTGACCTTCTGCTCATAGAATCTATTCTTTATCCTTAAAGGAATAGTCCAGAGGGTAGTAGAATGTTTTTTTTTTTACTTTATTTGCAAAATAAATAATCTAAATAAACATCCCAAGGCATCATTTTGTAAATTCATTCACAACACTAGACTTTATAGCCCTTTTTATCTAGCATTTTTGCTCCTGAAATCCGTCTGCTACAAAATGTTGCCGGTGGCGCCTCCATACGGGTGTGACGTAGTACTGTGTAAATGGGTCAGGAGATCAGCCATTATTGTGCATTTATTGTGACAAATTTCAATGTCTGGTGACAATTTTAGGCCGCAGGGAACTACCAAACGATGGAGGAAAGATGGAGGCACTTGAGAATTGGATGAAAATGGTAAAAATGAACAAGAAATGGGGAAAATGCTGTGCTCCTTATTTATATATTTTTTATGACATTTCTCTACAGTAGATGGCTCTGCCTTACCTGATTTCACCTTTACTTGAATTGGCGGGAAAATGTATTTTTACTAGTGCTATGAATATCGATGGTTACTTTTATTATAAACATTATGATTACTATAACGGTATAAACATTAGTAACAGCAAAATAAGATAACGCAAAATAATTTCGTAAATTAAAGAAAAGGGTTAACAGGCGAGACAAGCAGTACCAATACAAGTGGAGCCATCTATGTGTGAAAACAATTAAACATCGTGAGTGGGTTAATGAAGGAGGAAGACGAGTCGTCAGATTCGGCCTATAACATGGCTCAAATTGGTATTTTTTCACCAATTCTCCTCCTACTTCCAGCTCCCTATCTTCTAGTTCATCACCAGTAAGATCTATTGATTCTGTGTCTACAGTTTCAACTTCACTGGAACTGCTGTAATCCTCGTTGCTCGCCATGTTGTTGAACAATGGCTATACATGGTATGACGTCACACGACGTGGTGGCGCCACTGGTCGTTTTTGAGGCAGACGAATTTTGTGGGCTTACAAAATCATGTTTATTTTTATTATCAGGGTCTAAATTTTCAATTTGATTTTATTAATGGATAAATATTAACCTAGGCCAACTGTGGATGCAAAATAGTGCACCAGTTCTAAGCTATTCCTTTAAAGCCTCATATTGTGTGGCTTTATTTTCCTTCTCCATTCACCGTCTTTTGGCGCTTTCGTTTGTTTCTGTTTCGTCTGTATTTGTTTACGTCATTATAAGGAATATGGACAGTCAATACTAGTGAAAAAAGGGTCCCCCTTCTAAGTGCTCATGAGACTCTTAGGAATCATTAATACTGTTTTTTGTTTTTGTTTTTTGTTTTTTGGCATAACAAACTTGGTCCTAAATCGCAAGTACTAGCATGAGCACAGGCATTTCCAGCAATCCAAGATTGATTTTAATCTGAATTATTTACGCCACTGAAACGAATATACGATTTCAAGACAACTATTTAGTGATATTGAGACACTGCAGAATTTCGAATAGTTGTAAGAACTTAAATATAGTTCCTACATCTCGTATATATATTTCTAAATTCAGCAACAACCTATTTACATTACATCCGTTTTTAATTAAAAGAGAAAATCAAAGAACAAAAAATGCTTTATTCACTGCAGTATAATACAAACACCAGCTATTTCTCTCTCTCTCTCTCTCTCTCTCTTTCTGATTCATACTTTGAAATCAAACAATTTCCTACCTCTCAGTCAATTCCCAAACATCACAAAAAAACAGAAATATCCAATACATTTTTCCCTAAAAATGCGGTCACACAAGCATATTCATCACCAATAAATCTTGTAGTCAAGTGCAAAATTGTTTTCGTGAGCACCCTGGTCACACAGAGATAAAACCATTGGACAGGGCTTTCCTTTCATGTAGAGTACAGTTTCTCTCTTTTTCTACAGGCTTGCTTCCAAACAATGCTTATCGGATGCTGAAGAACAAGTCAGCAAATGCTAAGAGGCCTCTTTTCTCTTTTCATATAAAACTTGTATGACCACCTTTTTAAAAATTATAATAATAGTTTCTAATAAAATCCATATCAGTGATCCACACTGTTGATTGATAATCCGTTATTTCTCTGATTTTATAAAGGCATTTGTTTATTTTTTCATTCATATATTACTTTTTTTTCGATAATTAAAGATTCACAGCAAACTGAACGTTAGTTTTGCATTTATATTCATTGTTAAAGGTTTGCTAAAACAGATATAAGCCACATTTATATTAATCTTTTTTTTTTATAACTTTCGTCTTTACTTTCAACTTGTTTATCCTCATGATTAGCTTCCAAGGAAAATTAGTCATTACTGATGCATCAACATTTTATTATTGGTAGCCAACAAATTATAGCACATGTTCATACATGTACACATGTGGAGGTGTACATCGACATACGCAGGACAGTAATAGCATTGCCTGTTGAGTCAGTTCCTCGTTTCATGTACTAATTAGGTACACCGTAACTGGTGCTAAGGTGGCTGCTCCCGCCTTTGCTGTAAAAGAAAAGAACAACCATCAAAGTTAAATAAACAGATGGATTATGAGAGGAATAAATAGACAACCAAATGAAGTTAGTAGAAAACACAAACTATGATTTCCCTCTGCCATGTATATTGAAGTTCTGTCTATTTAAAAATGAGAACGGAAAAGACTAAAGCAAAGAAGGAACCCAACTTATACACATTACTTGAAAAGGAAACCCAGTGGAAAAATATATATTTAGCTTACCTTGCGCCTCCAAAGCCACCACTGCTGCCACCAACTCCACCACTGCCTCCAAAGCCACCACTGCTGCCACCAACTCCTCCACTGCCACCAAGTCCACCAGTGGAGCCAAAAGTGCCGCTGCCTCCAAGACCTCCGCTGGAACCGAAACTGCTGCCACCTCCAAGGCTTCCACCACTTCCATGGCTGCCACCAACTCCACCACTGCCTCCAAAACCACCACTGCTGCCACCAACGCCTCCACTGCCACCAAGACCACCAGTGGAGCCAAAAGTGCTACCACCACCAAGGCTTCCACCAGCTCCTCCAACTCCACTTCCAAAGGAGCTGCTTCCACTGCCGCTGTAACCTTGTCCAGCACCGCCTCCGCTGCCGCCCAATCCTGATCCACCTAAGCCTCCACTCCCAGAGCCTGATCCAAATCCACTAGAGCCACTACCGGCACCCCCTAAGCCTGACCCTCCACTACCAAAACCTGATCCACCAGTGCTGGATCCCAGTCCTCCACTTCCGAAGCCTGATCCACCAGTGCTGGATCCCACTCCTCCACTTCCGAAGCCTGATCCACCAGTGCTGGATCCCACTCCTCCACTTCCGAAGCCTGATCCACTGGAGCTGGAGCCACTTCCTCCGCTTCCGAAGCCTGATCCACCGGAACTGGAACCACTTCCTCCACTACCGAACCCTGATCCACCAGCTCCTCTTCCTCCGCCTCCGACTCCTCCACTACCAAAGCCAGACCCAGACCCGCCGTGGCCTTTCCTTCCGCCGCCGTAAGGGACGGGCTCGGCCACAGCCAGGCACAGCAGCGCCATCGCGGCCGCGGAGGCGATCTGACAAATAGTTATGGAGAAAAAAATATGGTTAATTAATCCATTTCTTTCGCTAGAGGGTGTTATTATTAATAAGAATATCGAGTTTTCATTACACAATAATGACTAAAATGTTATTCCAGGAAATGTAAGAACTTTCAGAAAAAACACAATTCCACTTACCACAGACCGATGGTTCTTCATCATGCTCAGTTCTCTTTGCTCAAGAGCTGATGCCCAGACTGCATCGTGTCAGTATTTATACTTGATTTTCTCTCAGAGATGTTGCAGTTGCCAGTTAAAGCAACATCGAGCTGCCAGACAATGAAGAAAAAAGTAGTTGGGTTTCTTGGAAGAGCAATGCAAGATGCCGTTGACACTGCAGCTTCATTGAGGGAAAACCGAGTGCCTTCGAAGAAGCCTCAGCGATCAGGACCGTAAATCGTGCTTTATTTTACCAAGCTTATAATACATATTTAGATGAATATATGTGTTCATATATATATATATATATATATATATATATATATATATATACACACATATACATATTTATACATATATAAGTAGAGTATATATAGAGAGAGAAAAACAGAGATACAGAAACATACATTTATATATGCATTCAAATACATGCACATATGTATTCAGCTATATAGATAGTTTCAGATAAAATATATACACGTACGCCCACAGACACTTACATAAACATATTTATATACATACATGTACACAAATGTATAAAGATAGCTATTGTTATTTATACATTCATGGTAGCATTTATATCTATATCTATATATAGATATAGATAGGTACATTTGGGTATATGTGTATGTGCTTATATCTATATATACCTATAGATAGATAGATATGTACACTTATTTGTATATATGTTTGTCTGCAAATATGTTCGTTTTGTTTTTTTGGTCGCAGAATTCATCTTTTGATATCATTTTATGAAATCAGTAATTTGTATATTTTCACTATCAAGGAATAATATTATAGTGTATGTTTGCAAGTGTTCATTTGTGCTAATGTGTTTATGTATGTATGGTGTGTCTGGATGTGTGTAAACGGGTTTGTGTGTGTACGTATGTGTTGGTGTATATGTATGTTTTCGTAATATCAAAAATGTCAGCGGAATTTGTGGTAAATGTTGCATCCACAATTCATTATCAGTGAACCCTCCAATATCATAGTCCTTCGCCTTTATTTTACTAAATTAATTACCAATACTTTTCCTCAAAACAAGAATAAAAGAGACAGTCGTGCGGTTTGACCTTCTACTCATAAAATCTATTCATTATCCTTAAAGTCCCATATTGTGTGCCTTTATTTTCCTTCTCCATTTACCGTCTTTTGGCGTTTTCGTTTGTTTCTGTTTCGTCTGTATTTGTTTACGTCATTATAAGGAATATGGACAGTCCATACTAATGAAAAAAGGGTACCCTTTCTAAGTGTTGATGAGACTCTTAAGGGCCCCACACACGATCATTTTTTTCGTCAATTAATTGATATCAATTTATTGACGTCAATGAAATGATGGAAATCACTGTGCCTACACACGGTCAATGATTTTACTTCAATTTTGAGTTTGGTTCATAATTTCGAGATGAAAGCATCTGTGGCTCTAGGAATAGTGCTTGCTCTGGACACTCCAAAGCGAAAGAAGAGGAGTAAGTGGGCGAAGAAATGGTATCTCTGTCGAAGGGAACGAGGACAGACACGATTGCTGAGGGAATTAAGGGACGACGAGCCAGAGGATTACAGGAATTTCCTCGGAATGGACGCCGAATCTACGCTCACTTTCTTTCTTCTTCTCAGCCATGATTACGATGACGACTCTTTCACTGCTGCAAGGGAAAACACTAAATTATTGATCAATATATTGACGCTTTGCCCACATACGCTCAATTTTATTGAAGACCCATCAATAAATATCAAAGAAGTTTTGATCTCTCAATGAACTGATTCAATGAAATTGTTTCAATTAAATTGATATCAATGTCCCCCACACACGGTCAATTTTTCCATCAATTCATTGACGTCAGTAAATTGATATCAATTAATTGACGAAAAAATTGAATGTGTGTGGGGCCCTTTAGGAATCATTGAAACTGGTTTTTTTTTGTTTGTTTTTGTTTTTTTTTTATATATAACAAACTTGGTCCTAAATCGCAAGGACTCGCATGAGCACAGGCATTTCCAGCAATCCAAGATTGATTTTAATCTGAATTATTTACGCCACTGAAACGAATATACGATTTCAAGACAACCATTTAGTGATATTGAGACACTGCAGAATTACGAATAGTTGTAAGAACTTAAGTATAGCTCCTACATCTCGTCTATAAATTTCTAAATTCAGCAACAACCTATTTACATTACATCCGTTTTTAATTTAGAGAGAAAATCAAAGAACAAAAAATGCTTTATTCACTGCAGTATAATACAAACACCAGCTATTTCTCTGTCTCTCTCTCTCTTTCTGATCCATACTTTGATATACAATTTTCTACCTCTCAGTCAATGTCCTAACATCACACTTAACAGAAATATCCAATACATTTTCCCCTAGAAACGCGGTCACACGTGCATATTCATCACCAACAAATCTATAGCTGAGTGCAAAATTCTGCCCGTGAGCACCCTGGTCACACAGCAATAAAATCTCTTTTTTCTGCAGGCTTGCTTCCAAACAATGCTTATCAGGTGCTGAAGAACAAGTCAGCATATGCTAAGAGGCCTCTTTTCTCTTTTCATTTAAAACTTGTGTGACCACCTTTTTAAAAAGAATAAAAATGATTTCTAATAAAATCCATATCAGTGATCCACTCTGTTGATTGATAATCCGTTATTTCTCTGATTTTATAAAGGTATTTGTTTATTTTTTCATTCATTTATTCAATATTGTACTTCCTTTGTAGCTTAATTTGTCTTTGATAATTAAAGATTCAGAGCAACATGAACGTTAGCTTTGCATTTCTATTCATTGTTAAAGGTTTGCTAAAACTGATATAAGCCACATTTATATTGATATTTTTTTAAATAACTTTCGTCTTCATTTTCAACTTGTTTATCCTTATGATTAGATTCCACGGAAAATGAATCATTACTGACGCATCAACATTTTATTGTTGGTAGCCAATTATAGCTCATGTTCATACATGTACACATGTGGATGTGTACATCGACATACGCAGGACAGTAATAGCATTGCCTGTTGAGTCAGTTCCTCGTTTCATGTACTAATTAGGTACACCATAACTGGTGCTAAGGTGGCCGCTCCCGCCTTTGCTGTAAAAGAAAAGAACAACCATCAAAGTTAAATAAACAGATGGATTATGAGAGGAATAAATAGACAATCAAATAAAGTTAGTAGAAAACACAAACCATCATTTCCCTCTGCCATGTTTACTGAAGTTCTGTCTATTTAAAAATGAGAACTGAAAAGACTAAAGCAAAGAAGGAACCTAATTTATACACATTACTTGAGAAGGAAACCCAGTGGAAAAATATATATTTAGCTTACCTTGCGCCTCCAAAGCCACCACTGCTGCCACCAACTCCTCCACTGCCACCAACTCCACCACTGCCTCCAAAGCCACCACTGCTGCCACCAACTCCTCCACTGCCACCAAGTCCACCAGTGGAGCCAAAAGTGCCGCTGCCTCCAAGACCTCCGCTGGAACCGAAACTGCTGCCACCTCCAAGGCTTCCACCACTTCCATGGCTGCCACCAACTCCACCACTGCTTCCAAAGCCACCACTGCTGCCACCAACTCCTCCAGTGCCACTAAGTCCACCACTGCCTCCAAAACCACCACTGCTGCCACCAACGCCTCCACTGCCACCAAGACCACCAGTGGAGCCAAAAGTGCTGCCACCACCAAGGCTTCCACCAGCTCCTCCAAGGCCTCCACTGCCTCCAACTCCACTTCCAAAGGAGCTGCTTCCACTGCCGCTGTAACCTTGTCCAGCACCGCCTCCGCTGCCGCCCAATCCTGATCCACCTAATCCTCCACTCCCAGAGCCTGATCCAAATCCACTAGAGCCACTACCGGCACCCCCTAAGCCTGACCCTCCACTACCAAAACCTGATCCACCAGTGCTGGATCCCAGTCCTCCACTTCCGAAGCCTGATCCACCAGTGCTGGATCCCACTCCTCCACTTCCGAAGCCTGATCCACCAGTGCTGGATCCCACTCCTCCACTTCCGAAGCCTGATCCACTGGAGCTGGAGCCACTTCCTCCGCTTCCGAAGCCTGATCCACCGGAACTGGAACCACTTCCTCCACTACCGAACCCTGATCCACCAGCTCCTCTTCCTCCGCCTCCGACTCCTCCACTGCCAAAGCCAGACCCGGACCCGCCGTGGCCTTTCCTTCCGCCGCCGTAAGGGACGGGCTCGGCCACAGCCAGGCACAGCAGCGCCATCGCGGCCGCGGAGGCGATCTGACAAATAGTTATGGAGAAAAAAATATGGTTAATTAATCCATTTCTTTCGCTAGAGGGTGTTATTATTAATAAGAATATCGAGTTTTCATTACACAATAATGACTAAAATGTTATTCCAGGAAATATAAGAACATTCAGAAAAAAGCACAGTTCCACCTACCACAGACCGATGGTTCTTCATCATGCTCAGTTCTCTTTGCTCAAGAGCTGATGCCCAGACTGCATCGTGTCAGTATTTATACTTGGTTTTCTCTCAGAGATGTTGCAGTTGCCAGTTAATGCAACATCGAGCTGTCAGACAATGAAGAAAAAACTAGTTGGGTTTCTAGGAAGAGCAGAGCAAGATGCAAGATGCCGTTGACACTGCAGCTTCATTGAGGGAAAACCGAGTGCCTTCGAAGAAGCCTCAGCGATCAGGACCGTAAACCGTGCTTTATTTTACCAAGCTTATAATACATATTTAGATGAATATATATGTGTGTGTTCATATACATACATATATATATATATATATATATATATATACATATATACATATATAAGTAGAGTATATATAGAGAAGAACAGAGGTACAGACACACATACATTTATATACGCATTCAAATATATGTACATATGTATTTAGCTATATAAATAGTTTCAGATAAAATATATACACGTAAGCACACAGACATATACATAAACACACACACACATATACATATATATATATATATATATATATATATATATATATATATATATATATATATATATATTATATATATATATGTTTATACATATAGAAACACATATACATTTACTTATACATTTATACATTCATTGTAGCATATATATCTATATCTATATATAGATATAGAGAGGTACATGTGTGTATATCTCTATATACCTATAGACAGATAGATATATACACTTATTTGTATATATGTATATTTGTATATATGTATTTGTGCAAATATCTTTTTTTTTCATGGTCACGGAACTTATCTTTGGATATTATTTTATGATATCAGTAATTTGTATATTTTCGCTATCAAGGAAAAATGTTATAGTGTATGGTGTGTCTGGATGTGTGTAAACGGGTTTGTGTGCGTACGTATGTGTTGGTGTATATGTATGTTTTCGTAATATCAAAAATGTCAGCGGAATTAGTGGTTAATGTTGCATCCACGATGCATTATCAGTTGTCAGTGAACCCTCCAATATCATAGTTCTTCGCCTTTTATTAAATTTTATCAAATCAATTACCAATAGTTTTCCTCAAAACAAGAATAAAAGAAAAAGACAGTCATGCGGTTTGATCTGCTCATAAAATCTATTCATTAACCTTAAAGCCCCATATTGTGTGGCTTTATTTTCCTTCTCCATTTACTGTCTTCTGGCGTTTTCGTTTGTTTCGTCTGCATTTGCTTCCATCATTATAGGGAATATGGACAGTCCATACTAATGAAAAAAGTGGTCTCTTTTGTAAGTGTTGATGGGACACTTAGGAATCATTAATACTGGTATTTTTCTGGATAACATACATGATCCTAAATAGCAAGGATTCGCATGAGCAGAGGTATTTCCAGCAATCCTAGATTGATTGTAATCTAAACTATTTACGTCACTAAAACGGATATACGATTTCAAGACAACCATTTGGTGATATATAGACACTGCAGAATTTCGAATAGTTGTAAGCATTTAGATATGTTTCCTACATCTCGTCTATAAATTTCTAAATTCAGCAACCTATTTACAGTACACCCGTCTTTAATCAAAAGAGAAAATCACAGAACAATTTTATTTTTTTTATTCTCTACATTATAACATTATAATACAAACATCAGCTATTTCTCATGAGCATATTCATCACCAACAAATCTTGTAGCCGCGTGCAAGAATCCGCTCGTGAGCACCCTGGTCACACAGCGATAAAACCATTGGCCAGGGCTTTCCATTCATGTAGAATATAGTTTCTCTCCTTTTCTGCAGGTTTGTTTCCAAACGATGCTTATCGGATGCTGAAGAACAAGTCAGCATATGCTAAGAGGCCTCTTTTCTCTTTTCATATAAAACATGTATGACCACCTTTTTAATAATAATAATAATAATTTATAATGATATCAGTGATCCACTCTATTAATTGATAATCTGTTATTTCTCTGATTCTATATAGCTATTCATTTATCTATTCATTCATCTATTCAATATTTCACTTCCCTTGTAGCTGAGTTTGTCTTCGATAATTAAAGATTCAGAGCAAAATGAACGTTAGTTTTGCATTTCTTTTCATTGTTAAAGGGTTGCTAAAACATATATGAGCCACATCTATATTAATCACTATTTTCTAAATAACTTTCATCTATATTTTCAACTTGTTTATCCTTATAATTAGGTTCCAAGGAAAATGAGTCATTACTGACGCATCAACATTTTATTGTTGGTAGCCAATTATAGGTCATGTTCATACATGTACACATGTGGATGAGTACATCGACATACGCAGGAGAGCAATAGCATTGCCTGTTGAGTCAGTTCCTCGTTTCATGTACTAATTAGGTACACCATAACTGGTGCTAAGGTGGCCGCTCCCGCCTTTGCTGTAAAAGGAAAGAACAACCATCAAAAGTTAAATAAACAGATGGATTAAGAGGTGAAGAAATAGATAGTTAGATAATAAAGTAAGCAGAAACAGAAACTATGATTTCCTACTGCCATGTATATTAAAGTTCTGTCTATTCAAAAATATGGATGAAAAAGACTAGAGCAAAGAAAAAAGCTAATTTTATAGATACATTACTCGAAAAGGAAACCCAGTGGAAAAATATATAATCTTTAGCTTACCTTGCGCCTGAAGACCCACCCAGGCTACTGCCTCCGAAGCCACCGCTGCCACCAAGTCCACTGCTTCCTCCGAAGGTACCACTGCCGCCACCAACTCCTCCACTGCCACCAAGTCCACTGCTTCCTCCGAAGGTACCACTGCTGCCACCAACTCCTCCACTGCCACCAAGTCCACTGCTTCCTCCGAAGGTACCACTGCTGCCACCAACTCCTCCACTGCCACCAAGACCACCACTGCCTCCAAGACCTCCACTGGAACCGAAACCTCCAAGGCCACTTCCATGGCTGCCACCAACGCCTCCAGTGCCACCAAGTCCACCACTGCCTCCAAAGCCGCCACTGCCACCAACGGCTCCACTGCCACCAAGTCCACCAGTGGAGCCAAAAGTGCTGCCACCACCAAGGCTTCCACCAGCTCCTCCAAGGCTTCCACTACCTCCTCCAACACCTCCACTGCCACCAACTCCACTGCCGCTGTAACCTTGTCCGGCACCGCCTCCACTGCCGCCCAATCCTGATCCACCTAATCCTCCACTCCCAGAGCCTGATCCAAATCCACTAGAGCCACTACCGGCACCCCCTAAGCCTGACCCTCCACTTCCAAAACCTGATCCACCAGTGCTGGATCCCAG